GGGAAGGGAATGGGGGCTGGGATTTGGGGAAGGGGCTGGGAATGGGGGATGGGATTTGGGGAAGGGGCTGGGGGCTGGGATTTGGGGTGTGAAATTAGGGGTTAGGCTGTGGGGCTGGGAAGGAGGGATTTGGCTGGGGCTGGCAGGAAGAAGGCTGGGCAGAGAATGGGGACATATGGCTGGATTTGGGGCAGAAATGAGGGGGGGAGACTGGGGCCACGTAACCTCTGGAGTAGCATGTGTGGTGGACGAGCCAGGATAGTGCCTCTGCAGCTAAGGATGGAGGAATGAGACTCCTGCCCTACCTACAGCACCTTACCAGCCAGGAACTGTAAACCCCTCCCTGCCCCATGAGGCCATTGTCCGCCTTGTACCCACAGGGCTTTCTACAGATGCCACCCTCCAGACAAAAAGTGTTGGGACTGTCCTGTCCATCTAGCCACACAAAACTGCAAAATCCCCCTGAGACCGCTTCCTGACCCTGCAGGCTGAGCTCCATGGGCTAGGGCAGTGTTTCTCCACCAGTGGTACGAGTACCCCGAGGGGTACCCGAGAGAAGTCTGTGGGGGCGGGATACATCAATACAACTGAAATTTGGAGAAAACTGAATTTTTGTTTTAAGTTTTACAGAGTTGGATTATTTTTGTACTTTTTACACCCAAAAATTTCATCACCCATCCGGCTACAATTAAGTTGTTTATACAAATGTGTTGCAACGGTAGGATAAAAATTGTGTCCGAAAACTGTAGGTACTTATACATTTTTTTAAAGGAGTACTCTATACAAAAAGATTGAGACACACTGAGCTAGGGCATGATGCGTAGGAACAGGATAGGGGCTTGGAGGTAGCAGAGCGGGCTGTGGCTCTGTAGGTCTCTGGAATGAGAGATGGAATGAACCAAACTGGGGGCTGTGCCATCCTGGGGGGCATGAAGAAATTCCAGGGGGGGCACGCGGCGACCCAGCCCCCCATCAAGTTTTGCTGCCCCAGCAGTCAGTTCCTTTTTTTTTTTTGGCTCAACAAGTTTTGCTGCTATTTTGGGGGGGGGGAGGGGCATGAAGGTTCTCCAAAATTAAAAAGGGGGCGTGATGCCGAAAAGTCTGGGAACCACTGGACTAGACAGCTGCGTGGAAGGTGGTAGGCAGACCTGGGAAATGGGCCTGATGATTTTTGTATTCATATTTTGGGTGTGCTGACAGATTTTGCTGGATTTCTGTGAGGCGTTTTTGGCCTCCTTAGCTGCACGTGCAAATCGTGCTGGAGCAGCTGTCTGACATGTGCTTAGCCCACACATGCAAATGTTTGTGCAGAAGGGTTAGTTGCGTGAGCAACTTTGGAGCTGTTCTCCTAAATCAGCAGAGGGGGCTTTTAGTTATCTTTACGAGGACCTGGTAGGATCGTGAGACTAGACCCACCATACAAGTGTGACTTGACCAACCGAGAGAGGATGAGATATGTATTTGGAATATTTGTTTTTCAGTAACAGTCACTTAACTCCAACACATGAGCAACAGTTTGGAAAAAGGCTCTTTCACAATGCAGACTATCACTCCCATTTTACAGATGGAAAAATTGAGGCCCTGGGCAGGAGGGGACTTGCAACAAGCTCACCCAGCAGTCCAGTGACAAACCTGGAAATTGGACCCAAATCTCTTTAATCTCAGTCTAGAATCCTATCCACTAGGCTATACTGCCTAGCATTATTACATTGTGAATCCTTCCGTGAGCCAATAGTTTCCTTTGGACTGTCACTAATGGAGCCACTATGGGTAGTCTGCCTTTAGCAATCTTAAATTCTGTTTGTTGTTTTCCTGCAAAATACAATTATGTCAGGGCATTGCTGCTGTCTATAGAGCCAGGGCCCTATTCCTCTGTGGCCTGACATCCCTAAGGCAAAAGATCAAGCAGCAGAATAGTAATAAATAATAATACACCCTCAGTGTAGAGTCTGAGGAAGCAAAAGGCTTTTTTCTCTGAGAGGATGGTGAACCAACCATGAGACAGGAGACAGCGTCTGACTTTCAGGGCACCCCAGCTACTTTTGTGGACATTTAGCACCTCTACGAATTGGGCCCGTGGCCCATACCTCAGCTTACTCAGCAGCACAGGCAAGTTGTCATGTTACTGCCCCTCACTCGGTCACATTCAGATGCTTTATCCCACAGGTCATTTTTATCCCACAGAGACCCCTAGGCAAAGTTGCACAATGTGGTCCCCCCCCCCAAGCAGGCTTCTCTAGGGAGAGGCCTCACATGGAAATGTCTCCTGGTGCTAGTGCCTGGAGACAGGGAGAGGGCAGCAGTCAAGAGAAAGAAGCCCCAGTGAGATTGAAATAGGAATTAACCAGGGAAAATAAATCTAAAGGGGAAAGTGTGCGGAGCACAGCCCACGGGAGCCAAGGCAAGAGAAAGCTGTGACCCTATCACCTCCCCTAAATGTGGTGAACAAAGAACCATGTAGAACCAGTTCTCCCAGTCCTGGCTGTGCCATACACTGCTCTCCAAAAGTGCTCCATGGCTAGGGCCCTACCAAAGTCACAGCCCGTTTTGGTCAATTTCACTGTCATAGGATTGTTAACACAGTACATTTCATGATTCCAGCTATTTAAATCTAAAATGTCACAGTATCTTCAGTGCAGGGTCCTGAACACAAAAGGAATTGTGGAGGGCATTGCAAGCTTAATTTAGGGAGCACTGCAGTACTGCTACCCTTCTGTGCTGCTGCTGGCAGCAGCGCTGCCTTCAGAGCTGGGCTCTGGAAAGCAGTGGCTGCTGGCTGGAAGCCCAGCTCTGAATGCAGAGCCACAGCCAGCAGCTGTGCAGAAGTCAGGGTGTGGTATTGCCACCCTTCTGCACTGCTGCCTGCAGAGCTGGGCCTCAGTCAGCAGCTGCTGCTACTCTCCAACCTCCTAGCTCAGAAGGCAGCAGCACAGAAGTAAGGGTGGCTTGGTATAGTATTGCCGCCCTTACTTCTATGCAACTGCTGGTAACATGCTGCCTTCAGAGCTGGATGCTTGACCACCGGCCGCTGCTGTCTGGCTGCCCAGCTCTAAAGGAAGCACAGAAGTAAGGGTGGCAATAGCGACGCCCCCCCCCAAAAATAACCCTGCAATCCCCCTACAACCTGCTCTGGGTCAGGA